TCCTAGAACCTAGGGTAAACTCTCCCTTTAACAAGTTGTTTAAAGGGCTGTGTAGTTTTGCTTGGATGGCCCCACTTTTCAGCATTCTTCTGTCATCCCTTCAATCATTGTTGAAATATTTATACGTGTTAGAGTCGCTTGTGGTGGACCAACAACATTGGTGAACGAGTGTAGTCCATTTGGCTAACGCAAAGTGCAAATGCATAGTAATTAATGAACCATAATAGACAGACCATCTAGCTACCTGATCACGGATGGGTTAATCTCTAGTGATATAATCACTATGATATATATATATATATATATATATAATTTATTGCATATAAGGTATCAAATAATAATTAATAATGCACCTCCAACCCTGAACTTTGCAGTAATGTTGCACCTTATACATATATTAATACAGGGTGCGTGCTCAAATCGATAATTCTAGCTAGACAACTAGTTGTGCTTATGCGTACAATATATGTATAAAATACATTTCTAGTGAAAAGGTAAATTGCTGGCGGTATTTGGTAGCTGACTACACGAGATTATGTGATCAACTATCTGGTTATCTCTTCTCCAGGAACCCTCACAGATGGATCAAAGTTTGATTCCTCTCGTGACCGTGGAAAGCCGTTTAAGTTTAGGATAGGACACGGGGAGGTGATCAAAGGCTGGGACCAAGGTGTAGCACAGGTACATAATGAATGCTGTTATTGTCGTACCTTTTGGTTGCAAACAGGATACACATTACTGCTGAAAATCTGTAAACCGCGATATCAGTTTTGCCAAATTGATGTTATGAGTGCCAAAGCCAACGTATATATTTCAAGACAACTATATTTGTAACCAAATGTGCATTGGTGTGTGATTCTACAGTTGGGTGCCACTGCTCACCGGCCCACCACAGTGATTACATCGTTGGAATATTGATGAGATATTATGTGCTCGTGTCACCAGCAAACCTTGTGGCATCTTTGGTAGACGTGGGTCAGTCAAGAGGCCAAGACCTTTACATGCTCGTATTACCAGCAAGTTTATGATATCTTAGAATAAGTACATTGTCGCGGTGTCCATGATTACCGTTCATGATTGCTTCACGTCTTCTGTTGTAGATGTCGGTTGGTCAACGGGCGAATCTGACCTGCAGTCCAGACTTTGCGTACGGCGCCCGCGGTCACCCCGGCGTCATTCCACCAAACGCCGTTCTGACGTTCGACGTGGAACTGCTGAGGCTCGAGTGATTACGTCTCGTCGGACGTCACCAGGTGGCTCTGCTATGCAGAAGTCGCCCGACGGTTGTCGTTGGAAGCGCTGTGCAATCTTGTCAACGTCCGCGTACGAAAGCCACAGCAAACGATCTTTTCTACCCTGCATTCGTAGCGAAAAACGCGAAACGCGCGCGCGTCCACCGCTCGTCCGTCACGCGCCACCCTCGTTCTGCAACTGCGCTGGTCTAATTCGTCAGTGTCAAACTGGGTCTGTGCTGGTGTTGCAGACAGCTGCTACTCGTACTATCGATCGCGTGTGAAACTTCTGTTCATCGGGGCGATGTGTGTACGGTTTGATCGTTTGTGGGGTTTTTGTAGCTGGATCTTTTGACGTCGACCGGTTTGCGCAAGCGTCGTGCGAGTTGTCAGGAACAGTTCTCATGTATTCCTTTGCTGCCGTTACTCTAGTTTGCGTGGGCTCGTACCCTGCACGTCGTGCGATTGTGCTCGGAACCGAATCGTGTCTCTTTGGAAATGTAATTCCACGTCTTGCTGCAACGAGTGCAATTTTCTGTATTACAACCAGCCGTTTTTGCAATTTGTTTTTACGCCTTTTTTGCGGTTTTTTTTTTGACGAAGCTAATTGGAAAGGTATAGGGTGCGCTAAAGTAATTTGCTTCTAAACGGTGGTCTAGTGTTACATGATTGTTTTAGATTTCTTCATTTTCTCGCAGTCAGTACCAGAAACAAATGGCAAGATAGTAGTGCTTACATTGTAGTATCACATGCATATTACAGAAGTGTGTCAGTGAAATAATGGTGTTTTTGCCTTATAGCTATTGTTTGTGCAATTCCTTGTTTAGACAGTAATAAGCTTTTCTTTTAGAAAATCGACTGTACCACACACACTACTGCACAGAATATAAATCACCAAATAATTAGACAATTTAAATAGTTATAAACATACTAAAAGGAACAAGAAATAGAAGCATTGTCTTGCACTTTGCATTACTGTGTTTTTACCAATTACCTTTTAAATTCTTATGCATTAGGTGACACATTGTGTTTGGTAGGAGACTACGAGCTAACGATAAAATTACTCTCAGACATCACCGCAATTACCTACTATTGTGAGCACAAATTTACGTTGTATAGATATGTTCATGATATTTCTGGTAGTAAACAAGTTGACAAAAAGCTTATTTGTTTTACATTTAACCAATCGTATTGCTTGAACCCAAGTACATATATAAATATCTTTCCTGATATAAATTATGAACACAATCGACCGATAGATGGCGCGTAATGGCTGAAAAGCACCAGAGCTATAGATAGATCTCTATCATAGAGTTATATATTAGACCCCCAACTATACAACTCTATGATCTCTATCTATAACCCTGCACAGCACAGTAATTCTTTCTGTTAGGGGAATGATGTGAAATCTACATGAATCGATCATGGATATTTGTCACCCACGGTGGGTGCACGGGGATGAATATAGTAGGACAACTACAAGACTGATTTTTCTTTATGGATAAGAGTATAAAAAGTTTCTCGCAGGAAAATCTTTTCGAAACGTAACTGACTAATCGGTTTAGTTTTGTACTTCATTGTATTCCAGCAAGTTCATTATTTATAAGTAATTACCAATGATTAATAATTTAATGATCATGCTCATCTAAATTGGTCACGATGTTTTTACACTTTGTAAATTATTTTCATGAAAGCATAGCTCCGTGTAATCCAGGCACGGTAATGGCTGTCGATTATAAAGGGCGTGTGTGGAAAACGAACACATACAGCTAATCACAACGTGATGTACAATCCTGTAGCATTTATAACGTGTTATACACATTTTATTGAGCATGTATAGTTAACAACGTGAAACATTATTGACATTCTAAGTGTACAAAATCCACTAATAATGCTATAACCGCGCCTGCTATCGCTGTGTTACAACTACCACTGTGTTACCGAAACGCTATAGGTAAGTTAATTAGCTCCAAGAAATAGTCTATGTAAGCTAGTTGTAACGCGATACCGACAGTATTACACGATAAGTATTGACATGATAGAAACGTGTTTACACCGCATTGGGCTAAGGTGGGCGTTTAAACTGCCGTTGTGCTGTTTCTTGCTATATAAACGAGAACGTGATAGAACTTGGTGTACTTCGATATTTGTGCTGGCAGCCCGCCTGGCTCCAGTTTGACCGTATAAAAACGGCCGAAGAAAGTTATCTTAGCAGTCAACGGCGACCGACGTCCGAGGCCTAATTCCATATATATTAATATATGCATAACGCGGAACCCAGGGTGTGATGCTGCGAGAAACGTGAATATACGTGATAGGATTTTACTATGCACACGTGCTGTCAGCCTGCCCGGCTCCAGTTTGACCGTATACAAACGGCCGAAGAAAATTATTTTAGCAGTCAACGGCGACCGACGTCCGAGGCATAATTCCATATATTATTAATATATGCATAACGCGGAACCCAGGGCGTGATGCTGCGAGAAAAGTGAATATTATAGATAGGATCGGATTTTACTATGCACACGTGCTGGCAGCCCACCCGGCTCCAGTTTGACCGTATAAAAACGGCACAAGAAAATTATCTTAGCAGTCAACGGCGATCGACGTCCGAGGCCCAATTCCCTGTATATTATTATAGGCATAACGCGAAACCCAGGGCGTGATGCTACGAGAAAAGTAAATATTATAGATCGGATTTTACCATGCACACGTGCTGGCAGCCCGTCCGGCTCCAGTTCGACAGTATAAAAACGGCCGAAGAAAATTATCTTAGCAGTCAACGGCGACTGACGCCCGAGGCCCAATTCCCTGTATATTAATATAGGCATAACGCGGAACCCAGGGCGTGATGCTGCGAGAAAAGTGAATATTATAGATCGGATTTTGCCATGCACATGCACGTGCTGGCAGCCCGTCCGGCTCCAGTTTGACCGTATAAAAACGGCCGAAGAAAATTATCTTAGCAGTCAACGGCGACCGACAAACCGGTAATACTAACTATATCGACCAGCAGTTGTCCTGTCGGTCTGGGGCAATTATAAAAATAATATACTAGGTGGTTCTTCGTATACATACTTTTCTATTAGAGAACACCTTGCTGCTACACACACACACACACACACACACACACACACACACACACACACACACACACACACACACACACACACTATCTGACGTGCACTCCATAGCTGGCACGTTGCATGCATGCGCCCGTGACGGTAACACTGATTGATGGCAATAATGTAATGGTGAAATAACACAATCGCTGCAAAATGCGGGTATTTCTGCGATCGTTTGATCTACTCCGAGCCAGCCAACCACGCCCAGCGTGTGGTAGACCGCTTATACTTAATTCATACCCATGTTATAGCACGTATACTATGCAGGCTGCCACCTTGTGTTTATTCTTGATGTGATATATTGAAGCTATGCTGCCCATGTCTTCTATAGTCTACTTCTCTGGCCTCTATATATACACGCATACAAAAGTAAAAAACTATGTCTATATAATATCTATATATATCCTTAATATCTATTCTATATATTATATACAAGCATGCAAAAATAATTCATTAAGCATACAAGGGAAATATTACATGAGTGTTATTTTTAGATTTTTGACATGTTTTCTTCGAAGCGTAAGTTTAAAGGAATATCACTAATTACAACACACATATGATTGCTTCAAGGAAAACACACACATTTCTTATCACGAAGTGCAACGGCTAGATCCATGTCTTCTCTGGATATACACAATGTATTTCTCGCTCTGGCTCCCCCGCTCTCTTCCTCCCCCTTCTCTCCCTATCTCTCCTCGCGCTCTTTCTCTCTCTTTCTCTCCCTTCTCTCTATGTATATCTATCTTTCTCTATCTCTATTTCTGTCTCTCCCTTCTCTCTATGTATATCTATCTTTCTCTATCTCTATTTCTGTCTCT